TGTTGTTTCAACAGTTACATTTTTTAACAGTCTCACTGCCCGCGGGAAGAAACTGTCTCCGAATCTTCTTGTCCTTGCCAGGATGCTGCGGTAACGTCTGCCAGACGGCAACAGAAAGAACAGTTTGTGGCTGGGGTGATGGGGGTCTTTGATAATCATCTCGCTGATTGCCACCACTCACCTGCACCTGCTTAAAACCCTGGTTCTCATCCTCAGTCTTCGCCAGTTTTTTGTTTATTCTTCAGTGGTAAACTAACGTCCAGGCCTACTTAGCATTTTTTGCCTAGTAAACTTTTTGATGCTCCCAGTGAGAGGATTTACCTTCCTAACCCTGAAGCAGAGGGAACGTTGCTGCCTTTCTAGCCAGAATGCCAAGTCTGCGGCAGACACATAATAACAACACGGCGCACTGAGGCCTTTCCGTGTCCGATAGCCTACTGCCCTCTGCTGTTTGTAATGATATACACTATTTAACATAAACATGCCTTGGAGGCCTTGGAGAGTATAACTTAATTTATACAAGACAATATACATTGAAAATGTAACCACATATTTATGCGGTTATCTGAATCACATTTCTACCCCTTATATTAGAAAATATATGATTAAATATGTAAAATATGCGCACTTCAACACTGCACTGCGTGGGTGGACTCCAGTTATATCTTTCAAACTAAATCTATCCACTATCTGCTTGTCTATGTTAAAAAGCCTCAGTCACCTTAATTCATGTAATAAAAACATCTCAACACCAACAGTCAGTCTGTCAAATTTTAGGTTCACCAGAGATTACATGTCAATTGAGGCATCTCTGATGTACACACACTCTATGGTTCTCTCACACATCACCTACTGTTTAACGACCTGGTCACATGCCAGTACAACAACATTAAAGCCACTGGAGTCATTGTACAAACAAATAATCAAAATACTGGCCTTAAAATAAACGGCCTTACCTCACCTCCTCTTAGACAGTTTATTAACATACGCACAACTGCAACTAGGGTAACAAGAGGTGTAGAGAGAGGAGATTGCATTATTCCACTCAGAAAAAGTTCTTTCAGTCAGTCTTCATTTTCTGTTAAAGCTGCTCAGCAATGGAACTCAATCCCATCTCCAATCAGAGACCAGTCCACATTCACTTTATTTAAATCAAAACTCAAAATATGGTTAGTGAGGAATCAGCTCTGCCAACACTGACCCAATCTTCTGCTCCTTACCACCCACTGCCTGTGTTTTAACATGTTTTAACATGTTCTTTAGTTTTGTTTTAATGTTCTGTATTTTAAATTGTTTTATTTAAGTATCCCAGTAATGTATGTTGCATGTTTTAAATGTATTGTATTTACTAGTTTAAAAGGAAATGTGTTTTAGATTGACTTTTAAAATCTGTCCAGGGACTACAGATAAAAAATAGCCTCTTGGCTAGTTGGATGTAGAAAAGTCAGAATCAATATAGATGTTTTTTATTTTAAAGAAAATTCAGATTTTTCATAGTAAAAAACTGTAAATTATAGTGTCCGTCCAAAAATGCTTTTTTACTTATAGTGAAAACTACCCTTGGATGATGGGTTAGTAGACTAAAAGCTTTAGGAATCCAAAGTACAACATATAATAAGTACCCTGTATCAAGATTGATGCAAAACAAGTGAAATTTGACCTTTTTAGAGAGATTTAGCCAAAGAAACCCACTTCTGGGGTCATTTGGGTGGATTTGACCTATCTCTGGCCCCCCTTGCTCGATTTTGATGAATGAAATCTCTTTATAACCGCTAGAGCCAATGGAATCGAGGGAAAGTTATATACACACCAAAACGTTAACAAATAAGGAGTGAGAGTGACGCGTTACCAAAACCGGAAGCTGCCGCTCCGATTTTTACATAAAAAATGGAATTATGGATTATAAATAATTTTTTCAAAGGCACAGGTACATTATCAACCTATGGATCAACAGCTGTAGCATTTTTCTTTTCGTTTTAATGCCATTGAACACGTCTTTTGACCTAATTGACAGCTACGGTGAGACGATCTGCCGTAAAAGCTCCGTAAAGGTACGTGTTGTGATGTCTGTGTTTGCTTCCCCTGCCCGCAAGTTCGGATCGCTCAGTGATGATACTATACCTAAATAATCAGTGGAGTCTCAGCTTTAATCGGCTATATTGTATGTGCAGCTACGATAAGTAATAAGGGTATCTTTATCTTGAATTGTGTGCCGCAGTGCGTTAGAATTTTTTCGCTCAGGGGTCATTTAGACGCTTCTTATGAGACTTGTGTTTTGTTTTGGTAAAAATGGTTCATATCTTCAGTTAGCTGAAATTCTTCCCGTTAATCTGGTGCTACACATTAATAGTTTCATAAATGTTAAGAAGCCCTGAGACATTATCTCGGAAAAAAAACGGTGGGAGGGGTCCAATGGGGGGACCGCCGTGCTTAAGAGGTTAAGGGACAGCATCGCCCTGAGATCTATGCTGCTAATATTTTCATGGCCATAACGCCATTTGTAACATATGGGAGAATGGTGAAAAGAACCAACTGGACTGGGACCAATGGGAAAATGCCTCTTCCCCTCAATGTGAAGCAAAATATTGAGTCCTATGTTTCCAATCGGTTCCCAAATGTGAACATTGACCAGTGGCATAAGATCAGGAGCCGGGTAAACGAGAGACTGAGGAGCCACCAAAAAACAGATCCCGAAATAGCTCGTCCTGGTTTCCGCAGCAGATAGGCCTATGGTGTCAGTTATGTCAGTTGTTTTAAATAAAACGGTGAAAACTGAACTTGAAAATTGTTTCCTCTTTTTATTTTATTTATTATTTTCGGGACGGGGAGACGTGTGTGATTAAAAATTCATTCGCAGAAATGTAAAGTGATCTAACTAAGTTCTATTCATATTCTTGACGGGAAGAGCAGTGTAAATGGGTGGCCTATATGCATTTGAAAAGCAATATAAATCACACAGTTAGTATACAATAGGCTTTAAAAGCACCATCGATAACCATTGCCCTTCTCCAATTCAAACCAAAAGAGAAAAGGCAGATATTGCCCTCATAAAAGAAATGGTAGACATATCAATAAACATTTATAACTAGTTTAGGTAGTTTGAGAGGTAATTAAAATAGCTAAGGGTGATGATCTGACTTGAAGTGTGTGTTTTCCTCCTCCCGCTGCATCACAGCATATACTGTGTATATCAACATTCTTTAATTAAATGTTTGATAAGTGCATGCAGATCACAGTACAGTAAAACATGTACACCGATACATTATTTTGTATTTTTATTAAATTTGACAATGTCAATTTCACTTTCCACTATGTACAGGTATCTTGGGTCAGTCTTGTCTTCCAAAAATCAGGAAGTAAAGTCCCCTGGTTTGTGACAAGATGTGAAGTCAACAGGTAGTCACTCAGAGGGGGGTACTATTTATTTTCAAATGCATATAGGCAATGCCACCCATTTACATGTAGGCAACACTGCCCTTCCAGTCAAGAATTTGAATGGGGGGATGGGGAGACGTGTGTGATTAAAAATGAGTGGCCAAACTAAGACTTATTTTTTCAAAAGAGAAAATGCAGATATTACACTCAGAAAAGAAATGGTAGACATATCAGTACTCTTAGTGCCAAGTTGTCTCAGACAATCTGCATTTCCTAATGTGGGACAGTTCTGTGCAAAATGTGGGGCACTGAAAAGTCTATGTTAAAAAGCCTCAGTCACCTTAATTCATGTAATAAAAACATCTCAGGTCAGTAACACTGAAAGCTAAATGTGCAATACCATGTTCAGCTATGTTACTATTTATAATGTTATTGTTGTTACAACAGAAGATGTTTTTCTTTATATTGAAGTTAAATGCATCAATCTGGTGCACTTTGAGGGCAAAATTAAGAGATTTATGGATACCGCTGAAAAAATCTTACAGACAGACAGGACACTAAACACAGAGGCAACACTAAAATACAACATCGTAAAAAAAGTAGTCATTGAAATCCATATACAGTAGTCAGATATAGCAGGTGCAAACACCCACAGATGATTTCTCCAGCTTTTTTAAAATTAGTTTAAAATCCGTGATGGGTATCAAACTGGTCAGCTTAAGTTCCTGCTGAAGTGTGTTCCAGGTCGAGGGGGCAGAGTATGATATGGCTTTTTTCCCAAGCACCGTGCGTACTGAGGGGACGGACAGAGTGATGTAATTTTGAGATCGTAGGCTATAGCTGTACTGTTTGTGTGATATGTAAGTGGATATGTAGAGGGGCAACAGTCCAAGCATAGCGGTATAGATGAGTTTGTACCAGTGCAGTGATCTGCGCATTGATAATGATGTCCAGTTGACTAAAGAGTACAGCGTGCAATGGTGTGTGAGGGGTTTACAGTTGGTTATGAACCTACCCCATGGTAGACAGCGTCCAGCAGATGAAGGGAGTGAGCTGAGGCGTTCATGTACACAACATCCCTGTAGTCCAAGAGCGGCAAAAATGTGGCAGCTACAAGCCGTTTCCTCGCACTTGTGGAGAAGCAGGCCTTATTTCTAAAAAAGAATCCCAGTTTTAATTTCAATTTCCTTAAGAGATTGTCAATATGTGGTTTGAAGCAGAGATTTTCATCTATAGTAATGCCTAAGTATCTGTAGGTGTTAACAGCTTCAATGGGGTTATGCTGTGCAGACATGATGCAGGGAAGAACAGTTGGTAACCTTTTCTTATTGGAAAACAACATGACTTTTGTCTTATCTGAATTTAACACCAACCTAAGGTGGAACAGATGTGACTGAAAAGTGTCAAAAGCAGACTGCAGACGTTCAAATGCAAGGGCAACAGTGCTAGCACAACAGTACACAACAGTATCATCTGCATATAGATGTACAGAGGCATCAATACTAATATGCCGAGCCTGTACGTAGCGCTGTAACTTCCTCCACAAAAGCAGCCTTCTGTTTATTCAACGTCAACCGCCAATAAACCACCAATAAACACCAAAGAAGAAGAACAAGAAGAACATGTGTTCGAACCAGAAGCTAAACAAATGGGCGGGGCAGTTTAAGGTAAGACATACGGATGGCAGTATCATCGAAGAAGAATCAGATTCAGAATCAGATTCAGAAGCAGATTCAGAAGCAGAAGCAGAAAAAGAAGCCGGAAAAATGTCCACGAGAAACTTCATCTTGCGTTGCAAAAGGACAATAAATGACTGCACAAGACTTCTCCAAACAGATGATGCCGGTCATGCTGTGTTACAATCCACAGTAACGAGGTAAAGGCCAAGCCTATTGCTACTACCAGTACCAACACAAAGGAATGTAGTTTGTTTTTGCATGTAACCTAAACTGAGGTTGTGTGAGATCTTTCACACTTACAAATTCTGTCTTCTCCCCTATTTCACCAAACCGTTTACTGGCAGGTTAGAAACCATGGAAAGGAGCCTTGAGTGGTCACGGGGCAGGCTAATTAACGTCCCTACAGTTGATATTTTACTTCAGGACCTTCGGGAATATATACTTGAAGTCCGGAGATCTTGGCCTACCACACCCGCACAACAAGGTTGGTCGATGTGATAATTGTTCACTTTAGCATAGGCTTTCGTTGATAAACCAGTGCTAGTATTGTTGAGTACTAAGTGGCCAACAAGCCAATACATTTCAAAGTAATTATTTGTTTGAAATATTGGTAATACCAATATAAAAACCTTTTTAATCTGTAGTTGCCAGCTATTAATTAGAACATTCTGGTGAGACGCTCCGAGTCTCGAGTTGTCCACTTAAAACTGTACTCCAAATTCCAACTTTATATCCTGCCACACAGTGACGTGCGGTGAGGTTCATGGCTGGTGAGGCACTGACTCTTTCAGAGTAAGATTTACAAATATTATAGCCTATTTTGACCTTAATCGAAATATTCTGTTATTTTCAAAAGCTTTTTTAGTCTGATGCTATGATTAATTTTAAACAGACCGATCAACAAAAGGATACCCAAAATCTAAATATTGGATTGTTCTTTCTAAGTAAGATCCCATGTTCATTACAGTTGTGGTCTTACCTTGACTTGAAGATGAATATAAGTCCATGCTATCCTTCTGGACAACAATCTCTATTACTGTTTTGTAAAAGTCCTCCGTATCTTCCTGTAGTTTCAAAAGTCGAGTTTGTTGTTTGCGGTAGAATAACAGTAGCAACAAGAACCTGTGGGCTCACGTGCGCCCCCTTCAGTGTGGCAGAGGTTATGGCTGCCTCCCCTGGTGCATTTTCATTGCCGTTGAGAGCAGCGAGCCTAAATATCATATATACGTGAAATAAGTTATTTAGAGACTATGGATGGCGAGGATAAATGTAATAAAGGGATCTACAAACATTACATTGGTGACCTACAGTGAGATGGGAACAGGCATGCGCTTAGGGCCCGCTTTCCAGACAGTTTCTGTGGGGTGACGCATTCTGAGGTGAGGCAGATCTCATCTGTGCCTCACCTCACCCCACAGTAAATGGCTTGAGCGCACTCACAAAATAAGTGGCCGCGCTAAATTAGTGCCCGCGCTCCAGCAAGTTACTGTGGGCTTACGAGAGGCAGTGCTCGTGCCTGCCTCACTTCTCATAGCTCCCGTAGCGGAGCTCGGCCAATTTGCTGATTTTGACTATAAAATGCGATTGGAATCATACAGAAATCACATTTACACAAGATCAGTGGAGACATTTTATTATTATTATTATTTAGTTTTTCTTTAATTGTTTTTCCGTTACATTGGAGTATGACAGGTGAGGCTCTGCCTCCCCTGCCTCCACTGACTGCACGTCGCTGCTGCCACAGTAGAGGAGACGCTATTCCCCCTCCCCCATCGAGGGCAGTCTGGCCATCTGTAGTACACACCACGTATCATCAAACGTGTGAATGAGGACATTGAAAGGGTGCCAGAGGGGGAGTCTCTGTCTTCAGGGTTGGAAGACATGGACTGCAACTATGTATCTCTATGCCCATACACAAGCTATGCTTTTGTTCTTACTGTATACTACAACTATAGTGTATTGCATGTCCACTGGTTTAATGCCAAACTGCATTTCATTTTTTTTTTAAGTATCTGTAGGCTGGGCAATGACAATAAAATAGACGCATTGTGTGGGTTTCTGGCACAACGGCATAAATGCGTTGCTTTTACAACAATGACAATACATGTAATCTAATCTTTTGCTGTTGTTGCAGGTCATTCTGGCTACCACGCCCCACTCATTTTGTTGGGTGGTCGAGGTCCCCCACAATTCAGCATTTCGAGAGAGCAATTCTCTTTTTTGAGGAGCTGTGGTTTTACAGCAACAAAGATGGCACAGATATTAAAAGTATCTCTGCGCACAGTGAGACGGTGATTGAGGTATGTAGCAATGTCTTCAACATTGGGAGTGCCATCTTGTCTCAATTTATTGTAAACATCCCATGGAGGGGTTGTAGCCATGTTACACTATGCATGTTGTAAAGTAAATACCGTAGGTCTCATATATTTAAAACATGTTTATTTTTCAGGCAGTTCCACATGCTGCGCTCTGGGACATACTCCACCATCTCAGATGCTGCACTCGATAACCTCATCAAGGAGATAGTGGCTGGGAATAACCAGATTGGCCCCGAATCTGTCAGGGCACAGCTGCAGGCCCAGCAGATGTGGATACAGAGACGCAGAGTGCGGGACAGCATGAGGCGGATAGACCCAGAAGCAGCTGCACTACGAGCAATGTCACAGAGACTGCACCGTAGAGCATACCGGGTCGCCGGACCTAACTCCTTGTGGCACCTAGATGGAAACCACAAATTAATAAGGTAAATATGACCAATACCAGACTTGAAAGATGGATACTTTCTATCAATAGGCCACAAAACCCAAACTCCTGCTTCAGTTTATGTATTGTGCATCAAACTAGTTATACTTTTCATGTTTTTGTTTCAGGTGGAGGATTGTCATTCATGGGGGTATAGATGGGTATAGCCGCCTGGTCGTCTTCCTCCGGGCCTCAGACAACAACAGGAGCACTACCGTGATGGCGAGCTTCATGGACGCGGTGGCCAAGTATGGTGTGCCCTCGAGGGTCAGAACCGACCATGGGGGCGAAAACAACTCTGTCTGCCTAATGATGAACATCTTCAGAGGCTCTCACAGAGGCAGTGCTCTCCGTGGAAGAAGCACTCACAACCAGAGAATAGAACGGCTCTGGGGTGACCTGTGGCGAGGTGTGAGCAATGTCTATTACAACCTCTTCAACTTCCTGGAGAGTGAAGGCATAATAGACATAGACAATGAAATGCACATGTGGGCCCTGCATTATGTCTATCTCCCGCGCATAAACCATGACCTATGGGTTTTTTTGGACCAGTGGAACAATCATGGGTTGAGGACCGAAAGACACCAGAGTCCCATACAACTTTTTGTCCAAGGTTGCCTGGAACGGCAGGGCCAGACCACTTCTGCCATGCAGAGCCTCTTTAGTGGAGGACAAGGAGATGCTCAGGAGGAGCCAGAAAGAGAGGGTGGAGCTGATGCAGGGGATGTTGCATTGGACTGGCCAGAGAGGGTCACCGTACCTCAAAACCAGCACCTGCTAAGCGATGAGGACATGGAGCAACTCACCGCACAGTTTGATCCTCTTGCTGGTCGTAGAGGAGATCTTGGACTGGACATCATCCGAAATATACTGTCATTCATGGCTACATTGAATGTTGTCTGATTTTGTCACGGACATGACACATATTTCACAGCGGCTCCTCCGCAGGCTGTTCTTTGCCCTTTGAACTCACACTAATTGCCTTAAAACTACTACTTTGCACAATTTTCTAGTGTGCAGTATGTCTATCCTATGTTTTTATGTTGTAGTAGTTTGTGTGTATATATATTCGAGTGAATTTTAGTTAAATAAATTACTTTGTTTAAACAATGGTCTCTCTCAAAAGACCCAAACTATCCCTTTAAGTGCAGCTGTTGATGTTCACGAAAAAAAATAAAATGCATGCAGATGGTTGGAGTCTGTAGCCAAACAGTGGTAGATCTGGCCGTGGTGAGCAGTGGTGTGACTTCTTGCTGTTGTGGGTTGCTGATATGACAAGCGAGAACAGACCCATTTTTTCTCTACCTACATGCTTGTAATTAGTTAATTAATTAATATTCACGGCTTATGTCAGTTAACCTGAATGTTGAGAAGTATGTGTGGAGTCACTAAAATCACAGTATTTGTTCAGAGTAATGAGATACAAATCAACATAAGCTATTCTTTGTGCATATCTTTCTTTCACATAATTTCTTATGTCTCAACTTACTTCATCTGACATTGTTCTCTGCTTTGCATTTGCGAACATCACAGCCATGTTCTCTACTGGGCCTGGTTTTACACCCTGTGAATTGAAGCAGGATATATAAATAATTAGATGATGTGTGTATGAGACATGAGTGTGTCATTTCAATATTTGATTTACAATTACATTGTTTTCAGACATTCTTTCCTCCTGGCTTTTATTTTTAAATATTTATTTTTAATCACCTATCTGCCTTTTTTGATTCTTCATTATAAAACCTAAAAATTGAAAAGTAACGTTAATTATCAAAAACTAAAATGTGAGAATAGTTTAATATGTTAACTACACATTTTGGAACAAGAATGAATAATAATTCTAATCATTATTGGTAGTAAAACAGTAAGTAACATAAATTACATTAAAAACATGAACATTCAAATCAATTGTTTTTATTATTAGTGTTATTAAACACTGACGGGATAATTGACCCTAACTGTTTGACCTCCGGAAGTTTTTTGTTTTTTTTTAATTTGCGGCTATATAAAGGTTTGATGTTAACGCGGCAACGCCTATTCGCAGCAGATTGGTGAAAATGAGGAGAAGGCTATCTGACCTGAGAGACAACATGAACAATTCTTTCGACAGGTTGCTGAACCAGCCCCAAGAACAACCACAACCAAACCAAGGAGGCCTTGTGGAAAGGTATGTCATTTTAATATAACATGGATTGATGTAAAGACTAATTTAAAACTAAATGGATTAGACAATAACACGTAGAAAAAACGACCTCGGTACACTCTTAGAAGTAATGTGTCATTTTTTTAACACACTGCTGTGTCAAAGGCAATTCAACACATTCAGTGTCATTTCTGAAGCATTTTACAAACACATGTGTAAAATAAAAATGCACATAGTCAACACATTAGTGTGTCCACTGTCCTGCCAAATCAGGTTAAGTTATTTCAAATGTATCATTTTTCAACTGTCCAACTGTTCATCAAATATCCAAACTGCCCTTTTCACCTCTGGCTGCTGTGGAGGATGGATGTGTCAGCGGAGGAGAGTCTAACACTAGGTAAGTTATTACAGAAACAAAACGTTTTTAACAAAGTGAGCAGATATTGTCATAATGTGAGCAAGCTAGGGGTCAAAATAAATATGTTTTAACTTAAATAAATATGTTTTGCCAATGTTGAACAGCTAAATATTGTTTGAGTTTAGCTGCCTGGATGACAATTATTTTCCTTTAGGCCCATCTTCTTTTTTTATTATATTTATTTTAACTTAATTTAGCTTACACTCTTTTCTGTGACCATCATTCTTCATTTGGCATTATATTGATAGCATTAGCAGCTATATGTTTAATGCTATCTAGCTACTTTGGCTAGGTTTCATTGTTCGGCCAGATGTGGCGGGAAAGTTTTTCATATCTGCACTGTGGGTGTAGTATAGTGAGTGTAGCGTGCAATACTGTGTTTCACCACAGATTAATTAAGAAGGGCGCTGTTTCAGTCTTTGTAAGATACTCACTGACAACAGCGGAGAGATGTTTTTTAAGTGTATTGAAAATGTAAACGGCATGAAATAAAATCACCTAAACATAAGAAAGTAAGGCTGAAACATAACATGTTTTCTCTCTTGTCGTCCAGCTGGAGCGGGTTTTGTTTGGGCGGGGCTGGGGAAGTGTCTCGCTGGGTCAGTGCACCGCTGAGGTCGCACACTTCTCTGCAGTGGTGGGCCGACCCTTCGTCTCTCAAACACCAGATCAACACAGAGGGTGAGTCCGTGTTCTTCTGTATACTTGAAACCTCAGTCTTATGTTCTGTGAGACTAATCCATCTCCGTTTCTGGTCCCTGTCCTCAGGATACTCCGAGCTGTGCTCCCAGCTCTCCTCGCCTTCTTTTAAAGGCGTCGACTCCTTCTACGTGCGGGTCAATCTCAACATGGAGCCTCACGGGGACCAGTGAGAAGTGGGGTCTTCAGTCCAGGGATATGTTGCGTCCCAGTGTGGTGATGTAATATGAGAATCCTGCCTGACGTAGGTTAGGCCTGCCTTTATGATATCCAGCTCTCTCTCCTCCGCCAGGGTCATCTCTTTGCCTCCTGGTTGACAATTTCCACAACGACATCCTCCACACTTACGGTACGTCTACACAGCAGCGTTAAAAAAATCTTGGAGGTGGGCGTATCTGAAGCTTGGGGATTTTTTGTGAACAACCAATCACATGAATCTCCCGCCCGCGACATACGAAGCAAAAAAGCCCGAAGTAAACTGGATATAAACTCCCCAAAACAGGCGAAAACATACCACCTCCCTCCATGCCTGGCTCCTCCGGTTTATATCCCGGTAGGTCTGGTCATAAAGCACCGGGTGATTGATTCGCTACCGCTAATTTCTCCTCCATTTTTTGGAATATGAGGAAATGACCTGCGGTATGTCTCTCCCAGCATACACGCCGTTTGATTGGCTAGAGCTTGAACTGTCAGATTTGCGTACACGGGATTTGATTGGCTGACGCTTCCACCTCAGCCTCAAAAGTTGAACATTGTTCAACTTTGAATCCTGAAAATCCTGAAAATCTCCGCTCGCCTGCCCACAATGCATTTCGGCAAAAAGTGAGGGAAAGTGACGTCACCCCATTCAAAGTGAATGGGCAGAAGCGTTTCAAGATTTTTTTTAACGCTGCTGTGTAGACGCACCGTTAGGCTCACAGGCTGCTCCAATGCTGTCCCACCTCCACCAGTCCAGGAACTCACGGTTAGTAGCAGCTGTGACCTTTACTTCAGCCATATCTTCCTTCTGCAACTGTGCTGGTTTGTTAGTTGGAAGCTTTATCTCCTCATACCTGACTGCAGCTGCTCTCATGGAGCGAGCAAAGTGTGTGTTGGACCTGTGTGCTGCCAATTCAATCTCTTTAAACAGTTCTGGGTGTGCTCCGCCTACTGTTTTTCCCAGTGGACTTTCCCACAAAACAAGGTCTCCAACCACCTTCACTCTTTGTGGAGCAAGTCTTCCTTCTCTGTGGCTTATGAGGAGCTCTACTTCTTCTGGCCTCTTTAATTCTTCGGGCTTGACCTCTGGGAAGAACTTGTGCAGTTTTACAGGACTGATGACTTTATGCACTTTGGCGATCTCCTCTAGGCCATAGCAGACAAGTTCATGTGCCTTCTCTGTCCCTTTAGGAGTCTTGACTCTCACCCTAAGGAGGTATCTTTTTGTGTTCACCTTGATGGTCATTCCTCCTACCCCATACACAACCACAGTTATTTTTTCACCTTGCAACCTCAGCCTGTCAGCAGCCTTATGGGTGATGTAATTTGTGTCTGAGGCAAGGTCCACCAGAGTCCCAATCTTCTGCCATGCATTTGCAGTGACCTCCATCAGCATCATGATGACAGGAATTTCCCTGTCCAAAAGCCTTGACTGTCCTCCAGCTCTGCCTGTTACTGCTGTTTGGTTGGTAAAGGCTTTCCTGCACCTTCCTGCACGCTCTGGGGAAAGCTCAGCCAAGAATTTCTCCTGCTCCTCTGTGAGTTTGCTCTTACTTCTCCAGTCTCTTCCACTCCTCTCCTCAAAGGGCATGTTGCTTCCCCCTTGTGGACACAGAAAGAAATGGTGATCTGAGGTGTCTCCTTTTTTACAGTCTTTGTTTCTGCACAGGTAATATCCCCCTTCCTCATGACATCCAAGACACATTCTGCATGCTCCTAGCTTTTTTAGAACAGTTTTCTTCTCAGACAGAGTTAGCCCTTTGAACTTCCTGCAGAAGAATATTTTGTCATAGTGCCTCTCATCTCCACACACAATACACACTTCTCCATGCTCGCCCTTCTTTGCAGATCTTGTGGAAGCATATTTCTTCTCATACCTCCTGTCTGGATGGTCTTGTCTGTCAGTTTTATCACCGATCCTTAGCTGTTCCAGCCTCTCCAGAATCTCTTCCTGCTTTTTTAGGAATTTAAGGAGCATGTCGAAGTGATTGTCTGGTGTGACGTTATTGTTTGGATCAACCATGAAGACTAGCCAATCCCTCTTCACAAAGTCAGGTAACTTGCTCTCTATGGATTTGATCATGAGTGGGTTCTTCATGGCGCCTGAGTTTCCCAGCTCTGTGAGGTCTGCAAGGGCTTTTTCCACATGCTGTATCACCTTTCTTGGCTGGTTTCCTTTCACATACGGGATTCTCTCTAGTTCTTCCAAGATTTCTATGGCAATAGTTGACTTATTTCCATATCTGTTGTCCATTATCCTGAACATGTCTTCAGCAGTGTTGTAGGTTGAGAGTCTTAGTTCTTTTGAAATCTTGTCGTCCACACTGTCTAGAAGATGAATTTTCTTAGCTTCAGAAGATCCAGACGGCTCCCCCTGTCTTTGCAGGCTTTCCCAGTCTTTCCTCCATCTGTGGTATTCTCTTCTGCAGCCATAGAAGATGGGAAGACTTGTGGGCTTAATCCTCACGACTGGTATTGCTGGTGATGGCAGTCCTCCCCTTCTACCTGGCGCTTCTGCAGCCAGTTCCTCCGCTGCAATCTCGCGTGAGGTGACAAATTCAACTTGCCTCATCTCAAGTTTATTTCTCATTGCTTTGAGGCCCTTGACTCTGCCATCTAGATCCATCTTCGCCATCATGGGTATCCAGCGCTCCCAAGCTGCCATCACTCTGGTGGCCTCCTTCATCCGCCTCTCTAGAAGGGTCAGGAGCACCCTGTAGCCTTCCAGGTTGATTCCTTCCACAGGCACATTCCCAGCTTGTTCACTGGTTTCTTCTGCTTCCTCGATTGCAGTGATGAGCTCATATCGGCCATATCTGGACCACAGGTTATCTTGAATAAGGCCTCTCACCTCTTCTAGTCTGGCTTCAGCCTCATCTGCAGTCCTTTCAACGTCGGCCTCTTCCCGCTTTGCAAGGGCTTCTTCTTCTTCTTTTGCTCCGGCCTTTTGAGCGTCTGCCTGCAAACCAGCCATGCAGTCATCATTTGCTTCAAGAACCTTTCTTAATCCCTCTTTCAGCTTGGTGAATTCCTCCCTTAGCTCTGCCTCGACCATGCTGCTTGCTTCTCTGTTGAGGTAGTTGGCTTGCCTGGTGAAGTTGCTTTTTGCACTTGTTCTTGCTTTCTTGAGCTCTTTAACCGTCTTCCCCAGGATTTCTTCCGCCATTTTGAGCTAATGGAAATCCACAGCTTCCCTTCTCTGCGTCAACAGCTATCTCTGGGCGTCTGAAGCCTTTTATCCTCTGGCCCAGGCTGCTCCGCGTGGTTTTCAACTGGCTTTCTCTTCATGGCCGCTAACCTTGCAAATGAGAGACCCATAGATGCCAGGACTCAGAGCCGAGAGGGCCTTGTGGAGTACATCAGCCCAAATTCCCTCTTGCTAGGAAGAGCAAGTCATTCGGGGGACACAAGGGATTTCGAGTTTGAAGGCTACCCATACAAGAGGCTAAGAACTATCCAAACAGAAGTCAGCAGGTTCTGGAGGAAATGGAGCCAGTTGGCCGGTCCAAATCTCTTTGTGAGAAGCAAGTGGCACACCAGGAATCGAAATGTCGCGGTGGGGGATGTGGTGTGGCTGGCTGACCAAAATGCCCTGAGAGGACATTACAAACTGGCAAGAATAGTCAGTGTAAATACTGATGGAAAAGGCATCGTAAGGGATGTAAATGTGAGAACCTTTCCCAGCTACCCAGTCCCAGTTATGAAGAATGAAGTCTTTGGAGGGTACAAGGGACAGCCAAGCAAGATCCCTGCCACAATTCTTCATAGGGATGTCAGGCGCCTTGTCATCTTACTTCCTGTGGAAGAACAGGCGTGATTTGAAGGTGAAGAACTGGTGTGAGCTCCTTGGGTTAGAAACCAGGAGCTCAAGTGGGAGGTGTCGAGACGAAAGTCAGTATAAAAAGGGAAAAAATAATATCTGTTGAAAACGGATGGACAATTAAAAATGTGTATGTATTTTCATTTAGATTATTGTATTATAGGTGTTCAATACCAAGAGGGGGTATTCGTTTTTATTTTGAATAGCGTAGGCTACTTTTTATCAATGAGAAGCGAGCTGTCATTAGAAGGAATTAATGCCGCTTCCGGTTTCACGGTACAAAAGGGGCCGGAGTTTATGATGGCCGGTCTCTTGTTCCCAAAGCCACGGAGGGAGAAGTTGGCGACAGTGTGTGAGGCTCCAGAGACGCCGTTGGTATGTTTATTGTGTTTATGTACTCCATCTGTTGCCTTGTTTGTGAGAGTGCTGTTGCGCAATCAACGGCTTTTTACGCAGCGTGGTCTGCCTGCGCTCCGTTTTGTTTGATGTGTATTTTAGACAGCGCAGGTGGTGTTCAGTTGAGGTTTTCTCTGGTGCTTGTTTCCAAGTAGAGAAAAACACTCTCTCATTAATTCATTTAAGTTAAGATGTGGTTGTAAAATAACTCACAATTTATCCTTTTAATTAAAATACCCTAAAAAAGCAGGAATGTGACTGAGTTGTTATTATTATGGAGAAAAATACAATGAGGCATGCAAAATGTTTGTGTTTGCATGTGAGTTAACATTTGTTTGTCCTTTGTGTTTTGAAGGTTTTCAACCTGATGAAAATTCTTGGAGTTGTCTTTTAAAAATAAAGACAAAAAAGAACAAAATCCGAGTTGTCCAAGCGTCCTCTGTTGCCCTCCAGCCTCTCAAGTTCGGGCTAAATCACTGTGTACATGTCAAAACCCTGAAGGACTTGACACTGGGTGTATCCTGTGATGATATTGTACACGTCAGAGACGCAAGACACAACCCTGTCCTCAGGAAAATATTGCAAAAACTCAGGTTCAACAGATGTATCATTTCCAGCTTGGTGACCCGTTCAGTAATAAGTGCAACGTCGACAATGCCTGCCCTGTGAATATTGGTTCTCTGAAAAAAGCTGATATTATACTGGAGGGACTGAAATCAGCCCTAGATGAAAATGTCACGATGAATAGCATCATTTATGTCACACATTCGCTGACCATAAAGGGCCGGACATACAGGACTGGATCTGTGCTGCCCCTTAAAACACAGCATCAAGGGGAGCACTTATTTGGGGACATTTTTCAACTTATACCCCACTGTGAGACATTTCACTCTCTCATTAGAATACTGCAAGTTCAATACTTTGATGATAATTTTTTTGCATACGTTATGCAAGAAACTGAAGACTTTGAAATGATAACATTAGGCGATGTTGCTGATGTTACACCTCTTGATCTACTTTCGGATTTTAGCACTGACAAGCTTTATCTGAATCCGAGGTATAAGATTTTTTAGGTGGGCTTTTATAAACTGATCTGTTTATTCTCGAGAGAAAAAATGATTTCATATTTAATAACATATCTGCTTGTAGTGACTCAGTGATATTAAACATTTGACGATTATGTTTATGCAACAATAGTTTGCTGAAGATTAAGTTTGTTTTAACCAAGGTTTTTTTAGGTGTGATTTTATGAATTATCTGTTCTGTCAACATTTGATGAATTCGAAAAATATTAATGTTTTTAAATGTTAAAAATGATTTTCTTAATGAGATATGAATGAATATGTGCTAATGAAATCCTTGTAAATAAATGTCCAATGAATGTATTCTTGCATTTGATTTTTGAATAAAAACCATATCCACCACCTGGTACTTCCAGTAATCGTCATTGACACACAATGTGCAGATAATTTTTCCACCTCTGAACTCTACAATGGTTACTCTAATTAACCCTTTTAAATGCACTAAAGTAACTGCAAAGCACCAAGTACACAATAAACATAATACCTGGTGAATAATAGCTATACTGTATAAAACATCGTAATAAACCTAGTATATTTTATAATTAACGTGCACATTGTGCATAAAGTAAACACTTTCATAGGTTTGAGATGTTTCGACGGGAGGAGGGGGGAGGACCTGACAGAAGGAGAACAGGAAGAACAGTGGCGAGACGACCTGTCACACTGAAAGTGTCTGTCCTGAAGCAGGACAAAGACACCTACAGTTCTCCTATGGGTAAGTGGGTTTATAATGAACTACTAATGTTCACCTAAAAATGCCTTCTTACATAATCCTCAAAACTATAAGCCTCATAGACATAATTTAATATCAAAATACTTTGTAATTTTTATGTTTGAACTTAACTGAAGCTCAAGACCAGTATCTGCATAATTATTGAGTTATTGCTACATGATTAGATATTTGCATTAGAGTGCAGGTGTACAATTATATATTTCCTAATAAAGTGGCCACTGAGTTAATATACAGGTTATATAATATCATTATGTTTTTATGTTTTGTCAGATATCGCAGTCACCTGCACAGTCGTTGTGCCATTTAACCTGGACCCGGCACAGTTCCTACAGGCCCTTAGGGAGAAAGTGCCCAACGTCCCACCAGAATTTGAACTCTGCTGGCTGGTTGGACAACAGCGAAGATTTGTTGCCCTCACCTCCCTGTGTCCAAGGGAGATCCGATCAGGCAATGCCTTGGGTCGGTCAAATCTCTACATTCGGCCAAAGGTAGATGAACGTTTACATTTAAAAACAACAGGACAAATACAATAAATTAAACATTGATCACTGTATAATTCTGTATATCTAAAGTAAGCACCTTCTTTTACAGGGTGCACCTGTCTCCCACCCTCAACTGTTACCCGGCCCATCTCGGGTTGTTCCCCAAGTTGAGCTATGAAATAAAAAGTAGTAAGGACAATTACCAAATGTTGACATACATTCATAACCAGCTCATTGACACGTGTTTCAAAAACAGTTAGGTTTTTTATAATGTACTTGAAGAGATAGCTCTGACCCATATGAAATAGGTTTTAGATTTTTAGACAGGAGGGAGGTCAAACGATGTGGCAACTGTTGCTTTAGCATCTCTGTGCTGTATGCACTGAGATTAATTAAACAATAATTATAAGTCTATAGTCTCCAATAAGAGTCCACAGGATGCTGCCATACATTATTCATCTTAGGTCAGGCCTTCCCCCTCAGCTTCTACCTCCCATCCTCATCCTCAGCCAGCCACATGCCCATCTGTGCTCGTTATCTTTTTCATACATTTACATGAAAATAAGGTTCCAAGTTAGTGTTTCAAATCAAGACACGAAATTCAGGACTCGAGTTAGATTAAAGCAGTACTGCAGATTTTTGTTGAGTTAAGAATACTGACTATCTTATCTTTTCAGGAATCGCTGTCACCTCACAGCCCACCTCACAGCCCATCCCCACCTCACAGCCCACCTCACAGCCCATCCCCACCTCACAGCCCACCTCACAGCCCATCCCCACCAGTGACGCTTGACAGCCCATCCCCACCAGGCAGCCCCTCCGCACAACGCAGACCCTCCCCACCAGCCAGTGTGTGAGTAATGAATCTTTGCTCTGGTGATTTCAAGGTTGTGGAAAAAGCTGACAAGAGTCACAGAATCCCGTAATTTGATAAATTTTTGTAGCTTGAGAGATCTGGTGGTTATTTGACCTTAGATGATATACCTTTTGTAATAGGCCTACTAAATAAATGAAGCTCCATCATGGATTGCCACAGTACAGATTACACATACAATAATGTATGTTACCTGCAGCTCTCACCAGTACATTTGCAACTTCATTTGTTGTCTGCAAGTAAGAAATGTATTATATAATCTTTTTCAGTTCCCTGGATTTGTGTCCACCTGCATGCATCACTGTGTAAAGCACATTCCCATTGAATATTGCTAATGTTATTATTCCCATTGTCTTTTTATCTGTTTCTTTTCCAGACATGTAGACGTTGAAACGGTTTTGCAGCATCTACAAAACAGCGTCAAAGTGGAGTTGCTTTCTGGGGGGAAGAATTTGATTGTGCCTTTAGAGCCTTTTCCAGGACCCGTTTTGACCCGGAAAACAAAATAGATGTAATTTTTGTTGACACAGAGGGAGTTGGAGAGGGTGCCGTTGATGAGGGGGGTCCCACAAGGGAATTTTGTACTCTCCTCATGAGACAACTTCAGCATAACGGCATCTTCGAAGGTCCTGAGGAGAGTAGGACATTGGCCCTGGACAGTGTTGGTAAGTTAAGAAGTAAATAAAAAGCATTGTAATTTGTAGATTTTAACATGCATAATATATGACCAGCAAACATATATTATGGGAAATGTATTATTAATTAAACTTTTACCTTTGTAAATGTATACTGTGCCAAGAAATAGTAAGTTAACCCATAGTATTATCCTGCATTTTTGTATTATTAACACTGCATACTGTAATTGTGTCTCTTATTTTAGTGATGTTAGTTTTCATAGGTTTTTTAAATATAAGATCAGGACACATTGTATGGATGAAAACATTGTATGGTCACTGTATAATCTTGTAATACTTTTTTCATCTTCAGCATTACAGAAAGGCCTATACAAGGTGATCGTCAAAATGCTGGTCATCTGTTTGGTTCAGGGGTCGGTGTCTCCACATTTTTATCTCCGAGCGCCTATACAGGCAGATATGTGGTCTACTACCTCTCCCTGCCTGTATAGAGGACATATTCGACCCCACCCTGAAGGCCAAGCTCAAAAACGCAAGTACATTCTTTATTTTCATTCAAATTTTCAAATTTAGCAGTCTGTTTTGTGCAAAGCTTCGGTCTGGTGTGTCCTTAGACTCAGTACTCTTGAATTTGTCATAGCATACTTACTCTGAAGTGTATTGTGTATTCCAATGGGAGATTTATGTTATTAAGGAATATTATAAACCCTTATTATAAAGTGAAACCCTTAAGTTAATCGTTATCCATTGTTAGAATATATTTAGCTTAACTTATAGGGGTGGACAATTCAGAATGATCATTATTGTAGCATAATGTTATACATTAATTTTGTATTCAAATGTTCAAATTTCTAACATTAGATTGCCGATGCAACAACCCTTGAAGGGGCCAGAGAGGCAGTGGAGGAGGCCACAGAAGAGCTCTCACTCTTGGGCTCCTTGCAATTTGTGGGAAACATGACCCAGAGGGATGAGCTCCTGGCGGCCGCTCTTCACCACTATGTTGATGGACGCAAGGTGGAAGCCCTCCAACAGTAAGTATAGCAGCTTATCATTTCAATTACTACTGGTTGACTGACAACCATGAGCTAGATGGAAATCAAATGAATATTTACTACTATGAGGTTAAGGATTTTTAAAAGATTCCTTATCTGCAAAAAAATATATGTAATGTACACATGCTGTAAAATGGAAACAGGTTGTAACAGGACATTTTTCACACATTTAGTTATGTTCTCTCTCTTCTGGTACTTCTTACATTTACAGGTTTTGCGAAGGTCTTAAAATTGTTGGAGCATTGGACGCTTTGAAGGCCCACCCAACAGTCCTGAAGAGTGTGTTTCTTCAGGACCAGAAGCCACTCCTGGCGTCCGAAATGATAGAACTGTTTAAGACTGGGAGGGTTTCGGGGCCTGGTTCCAACCGCAGGCGGATGGATGCCAGGACCATTGGCTTTTGGCAGGACTGGCTGCTGCAGGTGGAGGGTAAGAAATTGCCAAATTAACACAAATTGCATTCCTTATGCAAAGACTCAATAGGCAAAAAGAGATAAAGGACACCTATAGTTATACACTAGAAAGACATAATCATAAGTATGAGAATATTTCCATAATATGTTACACAATACCACCTACATTTAATGCAGCACATCTGAATAAAATGATTAGCCTACTGATTTAATATTAGCATGCGTAATGTACAATGTATTTGCAAACCTTTATTAACTCCTGACAGAAGCTCAGTTAAAGGTATACTCCCTCTTGGGGTCAAAGGGTGAAACAACTCTTGTCTTCAGATGTTCTACAACATTCACGGTATGTGCATTCACAGATGTCTATGCAATATGTAGGATTTATATTAACAGTGACAGATGATATGTACTGTAAATATAACATTACCGGGTTAGTTTAGCTTCATGGCTGCCTCAGGGCTCAGCCCCCCGGCATGTGTTCCCGACAGGTGAGCCGGCAGTGACAAAAAGCCGGTCAAAAACCAGGAAAGCATCACACCAAGCTGTCCCTCGTTGATGATGTTAATAATAAGAATAACAATAATATGACCAGCAGAACTGGTGGATAGACCACGCTATAGAGCAGGGCACCTTGAACATCTGGATCCGTAGTCTCCGATGAAATTGACCACCTCTTTTTCCTCGGTATGGCCTCTGAAGCATCTCCAAGGACACACATCGTGTTTCTTTTCATCCGTTCATTCATTTCAGAAATTCTAAAGGCTCCTTATCTCCAAAAGTGCTATTACATTGGTAAACAAATAAGCATATACAAACAGCTAGCGCTGTTTCTTTGATAGAGACAAAGATAGTTGCTCAGCAACCAGGAAAGATAAACAATAAAATGGAGCAGAACTCTGTGTCATGGACGTTCTAGCATTCTGATATTTCATTATTATTTCAAGGTGATTTACTATCCAGGCCACTACTTTTTTTTAAATGTACTGTACATATGGTAAAGTAATGAAATACATACAATATTGCAAGACATGACCAGCTTTCAGTATCTTATTTTCCCATGAGTTGGACCAATACCAAAACACACTTCAGTTATCTTGTCCAGTGTATCACAAACATTTTTGGCCCAAAGACACCCTTTCTGTTATTTTCCTGAAGTATTCCAATTATTTGTAGGGATTAGAGCACTTTCAGGAGCTGCTGGATGAAAATGTAATCCGTTTGGGGGATCAATGAAAAATACCACTTTTCCAAAATCACATTTCATGATTTCCAGTTTCCCTAGACATAAGCGTACCCCCATTTCAGAAACACTGGTATACTGTCTAGTCAAATATGCAATATTATCATACTCATCTCTTAAACACAAAAAATACCCTCAATGCTCTTAACATTATGTAGACCTAAAAATGATCTCAAACTTTCTCCACAGATGGAGAAAGCATACAGAATGTCGGAGATGTGTTGGCCTTTGCCACCGGCCTACGGAAAATCTCTGCTGTAGGGTTTCCAACCCAGCCCAAACAAAATGTCCTCCACCCGGAGGACGGGCCAGCAGGTTTCCCCACGGCCAACACCTGTGGACTGATCCTGAGGCTGCCAGTTTGCACACAATACCAACTTTTTAAAGATCGGATGGAAAATGGCATAAACTGGGGTGGGCAATTTGGTGTAGCTTAGCTACAAAATGTTAGAGTATTATGCTTTTTTTGTTTTCTGTTTCCTGTTTTAATTGAAAGTATTCTCCTTCTGTCTTCTCTGTGTTCACTTCCTGCTCTGTCTGTTTTCCCTCCAGTTTTAATTGTCTCCCCTGCCCTGATTAGTTTAACCTGTTCCTAGCTCCACTTGTACTTCATCCCCTTGTCACCCTGTTTGTATATAAGTCCTGGTTTTCTGTCCTGTTCTTGTCGGTTCCTTGTTTGTCTATGTCATGAAGTTCTGTTTTTTCCGTGTTGATTGTTGTTACTTGAGTTCCTGTTCTACCTGTTAAATATCCATTTTTGTTAAGTTTTCTGCTGTCTCCAGTCTCTGCATTTGGGTCCAACCACTCCTTGCTTCACATGACAATGATTGATTTGTACTATATATCGAATTGCTATTTTTGCCATTATTTTATTGTTATTAGTGCTTTTGCAGGGAATTATTATTATTATTATTACTTTAAATCTCATAGATATTAACACTATTATACATATGGCTGACATAATCATCATCATTAATTGTTTTGTGATATTATGTCCCTCTTGTTTTCATATATATATTTATATATGTGTCCCCTCTTCCTTCACAAGCACTATATATCAATATATAATACTATTCTGAAGCATGCAATGAAATAGAAGCAGAAAATGCTGCAGTGTTTCCGATGACCCTTTGTATACATTTCTGAATAAGTCTCAGAACCACTTTGTGGTACTATTAATTTGATATGGTTGGATATAGTTTTCAGCTGGAGCAACACTAATACATCTGAGGCTGATACATTCCCATTTCTTTGCTGTGAAACATGAACACAGAAGACAGGCTACCACCTTAAAAAACTGGAGAACAGACAGCTGTTGCAGCCAAGCAGTGGGGACAATTAAGGTGAAGCAGACCTTGCAATAAGTTGCATTACATTACATGTCATTTGTTGGACGCTTTTATCCAAAGCGACTTACATTCAGTACTGTGGACAATCCCCACAGGAGCAATTTGGGGTGAAGTGTCTTGCCCAGGGACACAACGACATGCTGACTGCAGTGGGATTTGAACTTGCTATCACCTGATTCGAAGTCCAGCACACTAGCCACTGAGCCACAGCCTCCCATTAAATACAAAGATTATAAGTGATCGAAAACAGATAATAAAAAAAGCTGGAGAGAAAAAAATTCCACTCCGAGACTCGAACCCGGCCATCTCGGATGTCTGACCCACACTTAGAACATTACTCTACAAGCAGATTGTAGTAATTTTAGTTTGAAAGATATAACTGGAGTAGCCTACACCCACGCAGTGCAGCGTCGAAGTGCGCATATTTTACGTATTTAATCATATATTTTCTAATATAAGGGGTAGAAATATGATTCAGGTAACCGCATAAATATGTGGTTACATTTTCAATGTATATTGTCTTGTATAAATTAAGTTATACTCTCCAAGGCATGTTTATGTTAAATAGTGTATATCATTACAAACAGCAGAGGGCAGTATAGGACACGGAAAGGTCTCAGTGCGCCGTAAAGTAAGTGTTGTTATTATGTGTCTGCCGCAGACTTGGCATTCTGGCTAGAAAGGCAGCAACGTTCCCTCTGCTTCATTCATTTCTCCTGTTCAACAGGTTAGTAGTGTGTACAAAGATTATGTCATATTTCGATCTAAGAAGTGTGTTTGAAACTGTTTTATGTATAGTTTAATGTGTCATTCTGTGAGCTAGTTTGGCTCCACTACAGTGGCTAATGGCGTCCGCTAGCTTCTTTAGCACAGGCTATCGCTCCCTGAATAATGTAGGACTCAAACTACTATGTTACTAGGTGTATGACTCCCGTGCACTAGTTTGGCTTACATTTAAAGTGTATTCTGCTTGTATAAATATGTGAAATGCTGGTCTGAGTTCATAATTGTTCATAGTATTGAAATGCTAATAGCGCTAATGCTATGCTAATATTGTGCCTATCAGTGTACACCAGAGCCAGGTTAAAGGGAGTACAGTCAACCGGGTTGTGTGTGTTATCACTGTATTATATACTGTAAATGAAGAAGGCTTTAATCCTTCATAAAAGTCATAATATGGCATGTGAATTTATTTCCATTTTTTATTAGAGACAAATACGTCATACAGTTATTTTGATTTGCTAAATGTAAAGGTATGTTTTTTTTCAGATTTCACAGCTGCCTGGGCCTAGTGGCCCACAGGCGGTGTTTATCCAGCAGCCAGAACATTCATCTGTGCCGGCCCCCAGGTCAAGATCTACCGTGGTTCAAAGACCTCCACCACAGCCATCACCACCAAGGACCAGAGGACCAGCATCACTACAGCAGCCTCCACCTCCATCTGTGCCTGCCACAATATTAAGATACACCTCGGTACAAAGGCCTCCACCACAGCCACCAGCATCAACCCGGGACAATCCCACCTACCTCCCTCCGACACAGCCACCAGCAGCCCATGCACCATCACCCCCACCTACACAGCAGCCAGACCCACTGTCTTGGAAGGCAGACAAAGACCATGACACTGCTCCCCCTGTCTTTACATGTATAATGAATAGTTGGTTGAAAAAGTTCTGATATTGGAAATATTGAGATTTTACAGTTTCTTATGTTAACATAAATAGTTGGTTGAAAAAAAAAGTTTTAATGCTCAATTTGTATTTGTACACATCACATGAACCTTGGTATGGAATATGAAGTCATGAATCAGTCCTGATGTAACTTTTCTGTGGTGAAAGTAGAGGGATGGAAATATTTTACTTTAAATTCTAATTTACACATTTTCATTTTAGACATGAATAACACATTTATATAGGCCTATAGTGTAATTCATATATTTCACTACTTTTGTGAACCAAAGACTTTGGTGAACCAAATCTGAAACACCAAAAAAAAAGGATGACATGAGTCATTGTTTCACAACAGTTTAGAAGTTTTCCAAAAATTGGATTTCTAAGCTTTGTATCTCATAAGACAGTGCTCTAAGGTGAGTGACTTTGCATTTCTAGCAAGACCAGAGACTGTACTGAACATTTTGACATGTAACACCATGCCATGTTATAAGAAGTACATTTAAAAGTTGATTTAAGGAGACATCTAAAAATTGAGAAAATACCCTTCACTTCACACTCCAGAGGGTTAAGGAAAAGGGTAATGTGATTTTATTTTAAAAGACAATGAAGGTGATATATTTATTATATTCAAAGGCAAATTAATACTTAGTCCCCTGAATCTGGAATAATGTACAATTTACAGCACAGCCTCACAATGTCAGGAACTTTTCATCTAGATTGCTTTGGTCTGGCTTTAGCCTTCACTGATTGGTTGAAGACACTTTTAACTCATTGGCTAAGGAAATCAGAAGGAGGGGCTCATTATCATATTAAAAATGGCGCGAAAATACGGGGAGGTCCGTATATTCTCGCGTAGTTTCGCGCGAATATACGGACATCCCCGTATATTCGCGCGAAACTATGTATGCGTATTATGGCACATTGGGCTTTCCATAAAAAGAAGAACCGTCTCCGGAAGAAACTGAGTCTGAAGAAGAGACAGAGGATCCAGAAGAAAGAGAGGCAGAAACACCGGGCGGAGTGGAGACACATGGAGGAGAGCAAAATGGCCAAGATCAATAAGTGTCGCAGGAATGAGGTACTGTTCTCTTTCGGGAGAGGAAGGAGGAAATGGGAGGATGCGCAATACGGGTCGGCAGTTGCGGCTCCAGAGTATTTTTGTTGCGTAATCTATGGTAGGGCTAACCCATACAGGGGTGGGGCTCAAATCAGTATTTGCAATGTAATTACATACACGCTCCCCCCGACAGTCAAACGCCAAGCGTGAGGTTTAGATTATTTCCCTGTCTCAATCCAAATTGAACTGTATGAAATAAAAAGGCACATTTGTCTTGTAGTAAATAAAAAGGGCGACCTGGAGCCAATCCTGCAATTTCCCCACAAGTGAAAGAGTTGACATGCTGAAAACCCAACCCCTGCAGGGGGGTCTGGGGGGATTCTCCCCCAGGAGATTTTTTGAAATACTAACATAAAATACACATTCTGGTACTCTCTTGAGAAGAAAATAAATAAATCTATTACTACACGACATATTTAAAAAAATGAATGCCATTTTAGTGTTGTGTTGCTTTTGTTCTGAAAGCTGAACCTGCTGCTCCTCACAGAGAGAAGAGGGAAGAGGCTGTGTGAATTACTTTACATTGTGGATAAGGGTGGATAGCCCCCATTGTTCTGTGTGTCAAAATGAAAGACAGCCCACCAGAGGTGTGGACTCGAGTCACATGACTTGGACTCGAGTCAGACTCGAGTCACCAATTTGATGACTTTGGACTCGACTTGACAAAATCACAAAACACTTGCGACTCGACTTGGACTTGAACACCAATGACTCGGGACTTGACTTGGACTTGAGCCTTCTGACTTGAGGTGACTTGATAATTTAATTCAGAGGTCTCCAACACGCCGATCGCGAGCTGCCGTTCAGAAGAGCAGACTCCCGTCGGGGAGAGCAGAATCTTCAGCCGCTGCAACTCTTGCTGTGAATCCTTGCAGGCAGGGGCGGGACTTTATTTTGCTGAGCCACCATGTGGCCAATCATATGCGAGGACACACTAGGATCATACCATTATGTGAAAGAAGGGTGGGGGGCAGACGCTCCAAAGACAGCAGGTGTAGTGGTACAGGCCAGCTACAGAGCCACGGGAAGACGGATTTAAATGCAAGCGCGTCGGAAAAAGTCAAGAAATTTGCGAAAACCGAAAAAATAGGCAGCATCTGGCTGCATTTCAATGATATTGGAGAAAGCAAAGCTGAGTGCAGGATTTGTAAAATGAAAATAACCTTCAGAGCAGGGTTTTTTTTTGGTAACCACTCAGGATTTATTGCCAGAGGTGGGAGAAGTTCAGATCTTGTATTTGAGTAAAAGTACCTGTGTGTAGGAATACTCGGTTACAATAAAAAGTCCTGCATTCAAAATGTTACTCAAGTAAAAGTAGAAAAGTATTATCATCAAAATATACTTAAAGTACCACCTGCAGACAGTGGCGTTTTCTCCCGGAGGCCAAGGGAAGCCCCCCCAAACCCAAAAAAATGGGCT